CTGCCTAAAGAGGCCAGCCTCTTGCTGCATCAGCTCCTCCTCCACTCCTGAGGAAGGAGCTGAGATCTCTTGGACAATACCTGGTTATATTTTTCCTGCACACTCCACCAGCTCTGACTTTCATCTCAGTGGGCTCTTTCTGTAGATTAGGTGTGGCAGCACATTCTGGTGAGTGCATCACTGGCACATCTCCACAGCTGGTTGAAGAAGAAATGACCAGGTCTCTGCTATTCAGAAAAAGTGCCAGGGACCAGGCACCCTCTCAGCCCTAGGCAGAAAATGAACCAATGGCATCGGCCATTCGTGTCTTTGTGCAAATGGATAGGTTTGTCTGAGATGCTAAGTTAAATAAATTGAAGGCCTGAGGAGTACACTAACCTTACGGTTGGTGGCCACCATTGACAGCCAGGTCCATCAGAATGCTCAGTGCCTGCTGGAAATGCCTGCAAACCTGTATTCCAATATGCAATGCAAGAGGGGGGATTAGGAATCTCACTTCAGGTGCCTGTTTCTCTGAAGCAGACATGATGATGTCAGCAGGCACCCCAACAGAGGAGGAACCAAACACAGCTCTCCCCACCTCCAACAATGAATGATGATGGGAGGCTCAAAAAGACAGAATGTGTAAGGGTGCCTCTCAGACTGATAATGGTTATAAGAAAACATCCTATGCAGCTCTCAGATACATGATCATGAATGAAACATCAGAAGCTAAATTTCCATAGCACCATATGATATTATAATCATGCCTAGATGTTACTACTCTTTTCTTGATGCCAATCAGGACATACAATGTTCTTAGTCTTGAATGTTGAAGCAGCAAATGTTATAAAGCATTTAACCAGTTGTTAACAGTGAGTTTTAATGAAAGGTAAAGAAATACTGAAGAGGCTGTCTTTGTTTTTGTCAGTAAGCACAGGTTGTTTACCACTGTAATAACAAAAAGATCTAAATTAACTGATGGTGCCTTACCTATCAATAGCATTACATTGCATTTTCAGAAGGCTTTCAATAACATGCTACACATTACGTTACCCAACAAAAGCTGATGGAATTGGAGGAGCTATATTAACTTGGATAGAGGACTGGCTAACTAATGGAAGAGAGAGTTGGATAAGGGGGACATTTTCAGGATGGCAGTCTGTAACTAGTAGAGTGCCACAGAGAGCAGTGATCAGGCCACAATTATTTGCAATATATACTGGATGAGAAAAGTGAAGGCACCAGAGTGAAATTTGCTGATGACACAAAAATAGGTGAGAAGTCAAGTGATGAAGATGTTGAAGAGACACAAAGAGTCTGCTGAGAAATATAGGCAGAAAAATCAAGTGGGCAAAAATTTGGCAAACGGAATATAATGAGAGGTATGCAATTTGGCTGGATGAATAGAGGAGCCAAATATTAATTAAATGGAGAAAGACTGCAAAAAGTTACAGAACAGAGGGATTTATGGGTCTCATCCATGAATCACAAAAAGCTATCATCCAAGTTCAGCAGGTAACAGGGAAGGCAAATGGAGTGTGGCATTTATTTCGAAGAAAATGGACTATAAAATTACACAGGTTTTACTAAAACTATCAAGACACTAGATAGCTCACATCTGGAGTCCTGAGAACAGCTTTGGGCCCCTTATTTAAGGAAACGCATACAGACATTGGAAGCAGTCCACAGAAGGTTCAGTGTGCTGATACCAGCTATACAGGGACTGTTTTATGAGGATAGCAAATGTGTTAAGGGATATGGCCAAAGCAGGTATATGGAGTTCAGCCATAGATCAGCCAGGATCTCAACGAATGGCAGAACAGGCTTAACGCATTAAATGCCTACTGCTGCTCTTAGGAATGGTTGAATAGATTTGGCCGCTACTAGTTGGAATGAGAGGTGGCCTGATTGAAATATTCAAGATTCTGAGAGGAGTTGACAGGGTATATGTGAAAAGGTTGTTTCCCCTTATGGGAAAGTCTCATACCAGAGAGCATAATGTCACAATTAGGGGTTGCACATTTAACAGATATGAGGAGGAATTTCTTCTCTTCTGTGGAATTCCTCAACGCAGAGGGCTTCTGACACTGGGTCATTAAGTATCTTCGTGTTGATATAGATAGATTTTTTTAATCAGTAAGGGTATCAATGGTTATAGGTAAAAAAGCAGGTAAGTAGAGTTGAGGATTATCAGATCAGCCATGCTCTCATTGAGCAGACTTGATGGACTGAGTAGTTTATTTCTGCTCCTCTGCCTTATGGTAAAGTACAGGGGTGCTTACTATTAAGAAGGAAAAACTTACTGCATTTAATGTAAGTTTAAAAAAAGACAGAAAATTATGGAATTTAAAACAAGTCATTTCTCCAAAATCTGAAGGTGTCCCACATCAGCATTCTAAAAGAACTATTACTAAAAGAAAGAGGTTTGGAAATTGAAGATATCTAGTAATGATAGTCCAAAATACACAGCATTTGGATTGAAACTTGCAAATCTCACTTCACCATTTAAGAAATAAGGGAGAACCTTATTGAAACGTACAAAATTCTTTAGAACCAGAGAATTATAGATCTCTTTGTTTAACATCAATTTGGAGAAGTTACTTGTATCCAGTATCTAGCAGCTTCCTTTTATGTATTCATTGACAGGATGTGCACATTGCTTGCTACACCAGCATTTACTCCCCATCCCTAACTGCCCTTGATAAGGTGGTTGTGAGCTGCCTTCTTGAACCAGTGCAATTCATGTTATGTAGGTACATTCAAAGTGATATCAGAAAAGAATTGCCAGGATTTTGATACAGTGAGAGTTAAGGAATGTCAATATAGTTCTAAGTCAGCATCGCGCATGGCATGGAGGTGAACTTGCAGATTATATTGTTTCCATGCATTTGCTGCCCTTCTTTCTTTGAAATGGTAAAGTTATGGGTTTAGAAGGTGCCTTTGAATATGTCTTGGTGAGATGCTGCATATCATCTTTCTGATGGTTAACATTACAGCCATTGAGCATTGCTGGTGCAGAGAATGAATGCTCAAGACAGTGGATGAGGTACAAATCAAGTGGACTACATTGTCCTGGATGGCGTTGAGCTTCCCAAGTGTTGTTGCAGTTGCATGGAAGTGGACAGTATTCCACCACAATTGTGACTTGTGGACAGGCTGTTGGAGAGTCAGGAAGTTACTCACCGTAGAATTTCTAACCCTTGATCTAATATTATAGCCACCATATTTACATAGTTAGTCCAGATCAGCTTCTGGTCACTGGAAACTCCCAAGAGATTGTTTGGAGAGGATGAATACAGAGACGTTAATGCTTTTGAATGTAAGAGTTGGTTACACTCTCTCCTATTAGAAATGATCATAACTTGGTGGCATGAAAGCTACTTGTTACTTGGCTGTCCAAGCCTGAATGCTGCCGAGATGTCTGCCCATATGCAGCAACTTTTGATATGCGAAAAGTCGTGAATGATGCTGAACGTGTTTAATCAGTGAAAATCCCCATTTCTGACTTTATGGTAGAGAAAAGGTCACTGCTTTGGAACAGGAAAGGATATTTACGTACAGAAGTCACAAAAAGCTAATGTACAGTTATCAAATGTAATTAAAAAGGAGGTTGACAATCTCAAAAATCTCTTTGGAATACGATTCTATTTGGGGGAAGCTGATGTCATGCTTCAGTTATATACTGCCTTGGTAGATTTAATCTGGAGTACTGTATTCAGCTTTGGGACATCTGGTAGGATATGCCAGGCATGGAATGGTTGTTTCACAGATTTAATTAATTGTTGCTTGGTGCTACAGAACTTGAATATTGGAGAAAAGAGGCACATGTTGAAATTTATTTCGTCTTGCATTTGTTCGGACAATACAAAACTGCCAAATTTCAAAAGGTAACAACAGTTTATTATGTAAGAACAAAAGGTGCTAATTGCTTAGCGAGTTGACTTTGACTGTCCGAGGCATTGTCTCGTGAAAGCAACAGGGAGATTTGGACGGTTAAGCTTCCAGGTAATTCATTTTAAAAAAAAGCTATGTATCCTTTGTTTTGAAAAAAAACAGGTCTTTGAGTATGAACATGTCGTTTCTAGGAAGTGTAAAAAAGCCATGTTACGAGGTTGACTGGTCATCATAAATTGGTTGTCAGTGTAGGTATTACCACATTGAGGATTGTTCACCAAGTGTTGCACAATTGTGGAGCGTTTGGTTGGAGTTTTGCAAGTGCAGACTGATTAAGAATCATCTGTGCTCTAACTATTTTGAATAACCAAAATACATGCTATTTGATTCAACTGGCATTGAATCAATACTGAAATTCATGCACAAAATTCCTTAATTGTGTGGTAGCCATAATGAATTTTTGGATTGACTGTGGTATCCTGTAAATGGAAACCCCGTAGGGATTGAAGGTCTGATATTTGAATATGCAAAAAAGCAACTGAAAGCAGATTTAATTTAACATTCTAGATTTAACTGCCTGCACTTATTACTCATTCCCACATTCCCTGCGGGTGATAGTTAACTGTCTTCAGTCACTGCAGTCATTTGGTGCAGTAATAGTCTGTACAAGCCAGCTAGTTAAGACGTACTGTTATTGTGCATAGCCATGGGAAATCCAGTCAGCTGGATTAAAGCCAGAAATTGTGGTGGTCTTTGTTTCCAGCAGCATTTTTTTGTAAACAAATCCAGGACTCCTAGTGTAGTCTCATTCTATAACATTATAAATATGTATTCTAGACAATTTACTATTGTGAAAAGTCTGTGATTGTGTTAGTATGATTGCAAGCAATTAATGCTTCTCAACAAACAGGTAAACACATGAAAGAAAAAATGTGCTAATATTAATTATTATTTTTTCTATTCCATGTTCCAATCTCCTACATAAGGTTTGAAAGCCAAAAATAAAATCAACCACCCACAAACCTAATTGTAAATAATTTTGTTTAGAAAAAGCAGTCCAAAAATAAAATAATTTTCAAACAGTTTACTATCTCTGAAACTTTAAACAATTCAGGCTGACTCACCTTCTTGTGTAAAGCAATATAATCTAGTCGTATTCCAATTTCTCCTGTAAAGAAGTTGGTTCCATTATAACAGTGATTCAGCAAACCCCAACTGATAGGTGAATGTGGAGGAGGATGACATGAATCTCCAGGGCCACCTAGTTGAAGTTGTGTGTTAGCATCTTTCAAACCTTCTGAACAGGCGTCATAGTAGTTTTGGAATCCTAAAATCACACAAGTCATTAATCTTACAATTTTGTTAAAAGGCTGCAATTCAACAAGCTATTTTCTTTCATAAATATAGAACAATACAGCATAGGAATGGGTCCTTCGGCTGATGCTGTGCCGAACATGACGCCAAATTAAACTAATCCCTTCTTTGTCCTTCGTCCATATCCCTCCACTCCTTGCATATTCATGTGCTTATTTAGAAGTCTCTTAGACGCTCCTAACATATCTGCCTCCACCACCCCTGGCAGCGCGTTCCACACTCCGACCATTCTCTGTGTAAAAAAATTGCCCCTCACATGTCCTTTGAACTTTCCCCCTCTCACTTTAAATGCATGCCACCTAGTTTTAGATAATTCAACCCTGTCACGGAAACAGGCCCTTCGGTCCAACTCATCCATGCCAACCAGATATCCTAGATAAATCTAGTCTCATTTGCCAGCATTTGGCCCATATCCCTCTAAACCCTTCCTATTCATATACCCATCCAGACGCCTTTTAAATGTTGTAATTATACTACCCTCCACCACTTCCTCTGGCAGCTCATTCAATACATGCACCACCCTCTGATGAAAAAGTTGCCCCTCAGGTCCCTTCTAATTCTTTCCCCTCCCACCTTAAACCTTTGCCCTCTAGTTTTGGACCCCCCCACCCCAGGGAAAAGACCTTGTCTATTTACCCTATCTATCCCCTCATGATTTTATAAACTCAATTTTAGCATCAAATTACTGGACTCTCAACATACAAACCAGGCTCAGTCCATATTCCTGTCCTTATCTGACTTGTTCCGGAAGACCTCAGCCCTGAAACGTATTCTTCAATTACACGACTGCCTCATCCACCCCCACCTGCTCTCAAATTCTGCCAATCTGTTCTTTTAGGAGCTCTTCAACTGTAATGGCTAGCTCATTCTGCGTGGCTTTCGTGATTTCTTCCTATTCAAATCCTTTCCTCCTGAAGATCTTAAATCTTAACCTGCGTGTTGTTTCATCACATTGGGCGGCATGGTGGCTCAGTGGTTAGCACTGTTGCCTCACAGCGCCAGGGACCCGGATTTGATTCCACCCTCAGGCAACTGTCTGTGTGGAGTTTGCACATTCTCCCCTTGTCTGTGTGGGTTTCCTCCAGGGGCTCCGGTTTCCTCCCACAATCCAAAGATGTGCAGGCTAGGTGGAATTGGCCATGCTAAAATGCCCATAGTGTCTGGGGATGGGTCTGGGTGGGATACTCTGAGGGTTGTTTGAACTTGTTGGGCCAAAGGGCCTGTTTCCATACTGTAGGGATTCTATCCTATTCTATCTGTTCGTTCTGGTCAACTTCCATGCCGGTCCATCCTCAGGTCAATCCTTCACAACTTCACATTCAACACTTTCTTTAAAGTGGACACCAAACATTCTGCATAACCAAAGTCTATAATCTTTTTGTTTTACTATGCATCTAAAACTTAGATTGGCAGATATAAAAACAGAGCATTTTTTTGCCATCTGGAACATAGTGATGCTGACAACAGTCACACCCTGTCTTCAGCCTTCCAACAAACTGCAACAACTTAAAACCTTTATATCTTCAGTGCTTTATCAAGACATGTTTACAAAGCTCTCAACATTTCAGACGTTCATGAAATTTTCCAACACGACGACTCTTGTAACAAATCAACATGTGCGGGGAATTTCACAGGTCACCATCAAACCCACACAGCATTCTACTCCTGCCCACTATTTCAAAGCAGAAAGACTGCTTACCATCCCTCCCGTTGAGCAGACAGTCCTGCACCTCTCTCAACCAAATGTCTGTAATGACAGCATCATAGTCCCATGTATTGATCCAGGCTCTAAGCTCATCTGCCTTATTTATAATACTCCTTGTGTTAAAATAAACATACTTCAGCCCACTAGTACCATCATGTACATTTACCTGTCTCTCTTACTGTCCTTTCTTTCTGATTTACTGGGCCTAACATGTACCTTCCTCTCAATCCCTACAGTCGCTGACCTGCTGCTCTGGTTCCCAGGTTCTCTGGTTTCAAAGCTGCCAACTGTAGAAACTAGTAAAAGAAACAATTAGCTCAAGAAGTTTTTGCTGACAATACTAGGGAAAGCTACAATAATTCATTTCCATTGTTTAAAAAGGGTAGCAAGGGTAATCCAGGAAATTACAGGCCTGTGAGTCTCACAGCGGTGGTAGGGAAATTATTGGAAAAGATTCTCAGGAACAAGATCTGTACACGTTTAGAAGCAAATGGATTTATTTGTGATAGACAACATAGTTTTGTGTGGGGAGGTCATGCCTCACGAAATTGATCGAGATTTTTTTGAAGAGGTGATGAAGATGATTGATGAGGGAAAAGCAGTTGATGTTGTCTACATGGACTTCAGTAAAGCCTTTGACAAGGTCCCTCATGGTGGACTGGCACGAATGGTGAAATCACATGCTATCAGGAATGAGCTGGCAAGATGGATACAGACCTAGCTTTATCATACAAGAAAGAGGGTAGCAATGGAAGGATGCTTTTCAGAATGGAGTGTTGTGACTAGTAGTGTTCCACAGGGATCAGTGCTGGGGCTTCTGCTGTTCGTGGTCTATATAAATGATTTGGAGGAAAACGTGGCTGGTCTAACAAGTAAGTTTGCCGACGATACAAAGATTGGTGGAGTTGCGGATAGTGAGGAGGATTGTCAGAGGATACAGATCAGCTGGAGGTGAAACACAGGTGGCAATTGCACAATGAATGGCAGAACCCTTAGGAGTATTGTTATGAAAAAGGATCTGGGTGTGCAGGTCCACAGATCACTGAAGGTGGCAGCGCAGGTAGATAAGGTAATTAAAAAAAAGGCCTTTGGCATGCTTGCCTTCATTGGAAGGGGCACTGAATAGAAGGTTGGACAAATTAGCCTGCAGCTTTATAGAGCTTTCGTTAGGTCAAACTTGAAATATTGCATACAGGTCTGGTCACCACACTACCAGAAGGATGCGGATGCTTTGGAGAGAATACAGAAAAAGCTTACCAGGATGTTGCCTAGTATAGGGGAATTTTAGCAATGAAGGAAGGTTGGATAGACTGGGCTTGTTTTCACTGGAATGCAGGAGGTTGAGGGGCAACCTGATAGAAGTTTGTAAGACTGTGAATGGCATGGATAGAGTGGAAAGTATAAGGCTTTCTCCCAGGGTGGAAGAATCAATTAATAGGGGACACAGGTTCAATTTGGGGGGTGGTGTTTAAAAGAGATGTGTGAGACAGGGTTTTCACACAAAGGGTGGTGAACACCTGGAACGGACTGGCAGAGGTGGTGGTGGTGGAAGCATCCAAGAAGCACCTGGATGAATACATGAATAGAAAGGGAATAGAGAGATACTGATACTGTAGGTGAAGACCATTTTAGTGTGGAAGGACAAAATGTATCGGTGCAGGTTTGAAGGGCCTGCTCCAATGCTGTATTGTTCTTTGTTCCAAATGAAATGTCTCCTAAATTCAAATATTTAGTACCAACTTCAAATCAATGATCCTTTGGAAACTGGAAAATTGGTAATATGACACCCCTGTTTAAAAAGAGAGTAAGGCAAAAGACGGAAAATTACAGGCCGATTAGCCTAACCTCGGTTGTGGGTAAGATTTTGGACTACATTGTAAAGGATAAGATTTCAGAATATTTGGAAGTGTATAATAAAATAGGGCAAAGTCAGCATGGTTTCATCAAGGGGAGGTCATGCCTGACAAATCTGCTAGCATTCTTTGAGGAAGTAATGAGCAGGGTAGACAAAGTAGAGCCAATGGATGTTATCTACCTGGAGTTCAAGAAGGCCCTTGAATAAGGTGCCACACAGGAGGCTGCTGAGTAAGATAAGGGCCCACGGTGTTAGAGGCAAGGTGCTAGCATGGATAGAAGATTGGCTGCCTGGCAGAAAGCAGAGAGTGGGGATAAAGGGGACTTTCTCAGGATGGCAGCCGGTGACAAGTGGTGTTCCGCAAAGTTCAGTGCTGGGACCACAACTTTTCACTTTGTACATTAATGATCTAGATGAAGGAACTGTGGGCATTCTGGCTAAATTTGCAGACGATACAAAGATAGGTGGAGGGACAGGTAGTACTGAGGAGGTGGCGAGGCTATAGAAGGATTTGGACAGGTTAGGAGAGTGGGCAAAGAAGTGGCAGATGGAGTACAACGTGGGAAAGTGTGAGGTCATGCATTTTGGTAAGAAGAATAAAAGCATGGACTATTTTCTAAATGGGGAGAAAGTTCAGAAGACTGAAGTGCAAAGAGACTTGGGAGTTCTAGTCCAGGATTCTCTCAAGGTAAACTTGCAGGTTGAGTCAGTAGTCAGGAAGGCAAATGCAATGTTGGCATTTATTTTGAATAAAAAAGCAGGGATGTACTACTGAGGCTTATAAGGCTCTGGTCAGGCCACATTTGGAGAATTGTGTGCAGGTTTGGGCCCCATATCTCAGGAAGGATATATTGGCCCTGGAGTGGGTTCAGAGGGGATTCACGAGAATGGTCCCAGGAATGGAAAGCTTAACATATGAGGAACGCTTGAGGACTCTGGGTCTATACTCATTGGAGTTTAGAAGGATGAGGGGTATCTAATTGAAACTTTCAGAATACTGAATGGCCTGGACAGAGTGGATGTTGGGAAGATGCTTCCATTGGTAGGAGAGTCTAAGACCTGAGGGCACAGCCTTAGAGTAAAGGGAAGACCTTTTAGAACGGAGATAAGGAGAAACTTCTTCAGCCAGAGAGTGGTGAATCTATGGAATTCACTGCCACAGAAGGCCAGGTCATTGAGTACATTTAAGGCTGAGATAGATAGGTTCTTGATTATCAAGGGGATCAAGGGTTACAGGGAGAAAGCAGGAGAATGGGGTTGAGGAACTTATCAGCCATGATTGAATGGCAGAGCAGACTCGATGGGCCGAATGGCCTAATTTCTGCTCCTATGTCTTATGGTCTTTGTGGTTGACACGACAACCTGAAGATCTACAGTTTTCTATTCACTCTTT